AAGGCCGACAAGCGTAGGGCGAGGACCCGTCCATCGCAGCTTGCGGCTTTAATTATTATTATTATACGTGATTGAATGGGAAAAGTCGACCTCATTAACAACAGATCTTCATCATGTGTATTTTGAAGGAAAGGCCCTGCTGTTAATTGCTCCCTGTGAGGCTCACTTATTTCTTTGGCCAAGTGGAACAGAATCCCTGCGGCAAAGACACACATTCAGGGCGTCGGGCTCATAAAACAACACTACTAGTCGTACTACTCTCTCCGGTGCTCGCGCTCATGATTCAAAAAAGTATCAAAGGCGAGAAAAACGGAGCCGCTTGCTGAGGACTAACATGATTTCCTGCCAAGTACAGAGTAACAGCGTGCAAGCCTTATTTCAATCTATTTCATGCATAACTGAACTGTTTTATAGGAATGAACTCCTCTCTCAAAGCTGCCCAAAGCATACTTTAGCTTGAGCAAATATATGAGGTGAGAAATGTATAAAAGTTACATAATGAGTAACTTGAGTATTTTCTTTGGAAGCTATTTCACATGCTTCAGACTCTCTACAATTTAGAGGCAAATACTCTTCTTCTTCCTCTACTATCAAATGATCAGGTTATAAAACATGATATCTAGAACAGTTATAGCTCTGCCAGTCTTTCAAAACAGTAAATAAAGATGTTGAAATGATCTTAAGCATTACAACATGCACCGATCAGCCATAACATTAAATGTATTACGGCCGTATTACATCAGCCTCAACCTCTGTGCGACCCATCTTTGTAGAACAACTTTCAGGGCCATTTTTTTGGGGGAGAAAAAAAAAAACCACTACTCCAGAGTAGGTGCTTGTGATGATGTCCTGAAAGATGTTGGTCTCAGAAAAGACTGATTGGTTAAACCAAAGGAGGACAACAGGCACCATTTTACGACATAAAATGTGAGGTACAAACTATGTGGATGCTGTTTGTTTTTGTTTTTTTTACAACTTAAAAGTGTTTCTTTTATTTCAATCACATGCAAAAAATGTGATTTATGATCCTTTGGGCCTTCAAACATCAGACATTTTGTCTCAGGTGTTTAATTTTTTGTAACACCAATGGATGTTCTCAAAGTAACAGCGGTGTAGATTATGGCAGCCTGTCAAACTGTGATTCTATAGCTCTGTCCTCTAACTCTTCCCAGAGAGCTTGTCTGCATTCTGGGTAAGACAAAGACCTTTGTCAATTTCTCTTGTATATTTTCCTAATTAAACCTAAAGTATTTCTGATTTGATAATAAACTACAACTAAAATATTCAATAGCTGCAACCCTTATTACTATTTAAAGGACTTGAGTACTTCTTCCACTACAGCAGACTTTAATTTAAAGATGCATTGGGGGTGGAAGTCTTCCAGCCTGTACTCCAGCCTCATAGGAGACCAACCAGGGTCAAGGACAAGACCAAGTGTACAAACATGTTTTGGGGGCTCATGTATATTTCTGACTGGAGACGGATACCTCAGCTGTTAGACCACTGGGAAACAACAGCAGCAGCAGCAGCAGCACAAGAACTGTGACGACTGAAGGCAGCATTAACTGGCACCGCCAGCCTCTGCAACAGAAGGTCGAGGAAACATCGGCAGATGGTTGTGCTGTGAAACATATCTAAGGTCTTAAAACATGTAAAAAATGAGCCATTTCAGATTCATCTAATCAGCCTTGTTGAAGACAGAGATGTAAACAGCACAAAGTGCCAGCAGTGCTGCCATTATATGTGACAAATGGTGCCCTTTAATGAGCTCATGGGGGAAATCACTCCGAGGTAGGACAATAATAGCGTGCAGACGAGTTGTACTCCATATTTGCAGGGTTTGGGCAGAGATGCTTGCATGATTGGAAATAGGAACATTGAGGATGATATACAAAAAAAATGAAAAGTGTATTACAGTTTGAAATAGCTGAATTAAAAGCCATACTTTCAAATATATCTGCTCAGTAGTAGTATTAGTGACCACATCAACACGTCTTCAGTTCAAAGAGCAAAATGTATTTTATTTTGACAGTGTTATCAATACATTTCATTCACATAGTCTGCCAGTGTTAACAACCCCATACATCTACGTCACATTGTCATAACCACACTGCAGGTAATATGTTAGCCCGACAGTATTTATAGCAGAAATCGTTTACAGGTTTAGTTCACTGTATGTTTTTTCACAGCTGCCCACACTGCAGGTGTTTTGTCTTTCTTTGCACAAATTAATTGAACTATCTTAGTGTAAATACTACACAAAAAACAGAGTTCATTGAGTACTGCAGAACTGTAGTGTAAATTATCTGAAATGACTGCTTGGCATCCACCACTGGTTAACATTTTTTGTGTAACTGCCAGCCGTGTCACACATTACATAAAGTGTATTAACAAAAGCTATCCAAATCTCATTTAGGAAACAAAGCATCTATCTAAATTGTGAAATTTTGTGCCATGCAATTACTTCTGAAACAATTAATTCTCCATGGCAGTTGTGTGGCTACGAAGTAATCTTCCTAAAAACATGTGAAGGTCTGAGGCTGCCTGACTGGAATAGCTGCTGAACTGAAAGAGGCTGCGTGGCCTTTTCTCTTTGAATACGTTTTCACTTAACTCATTGCTAATGGGCTCATGGAGGATGTACAGCTGAGCCACCGCCTGTCAATAGGCTTTCACCGCCGAGCTAAACACAAACTAAACACACACTCAGACATACACAACACGCGCACATAAATGCTCAGTCACATCCATTTCTGTGCAAATGCGATAGTTCAAAGAGTTGCTGTGCAAATTCAAGAATATAATACACTGAGGATGCTCCCTTATACCCACGTATTTATGTGTGATGTGTGAGAATCTATTGAAGAGGAGCATCTAATGTTATCCCTGAAAAGAAAGTTTATTTGGGTGTACATGTTGCCAGACAAAGGTGAAGGGAAGCAAATAGCTGCCCTCTAGAATCAGTAAGAATATTAAAAGCAGCCGTAACTTCCTCCTGACAGGACCACACTGTTCATATAGTCTGATCCTGCCAGGAGGAGAGGAGCAAACGCACCAACCTCCTTATATCTTGTTCTGTTTCCATTCCAACCCCCCTGCAGACATCTTCCTCCTCTGAAGAAAAAGCAATCAGGCTGAGACCGGTTCTCCTGCGAGTCAGCCAGCAGGGGTCCAGCTAGTCCTTCTCTGGAGCTGCAGAGGAGGGATGGACACCTAATTTTCCTGCTCCTGTTGAGAAGGCTAAAGGCAGTGTTTGGGGGTTGGATGACTAGTTCCTTCTCATCAGTTCTCCACGTTGGCTCTGAGGGTACGGGGCTTGAGTCTTTGATGCAGCCGGTAGTCCTGGCTGGCCGCCCTTCGCAGGGGAGCTGGGGAGCTGAGCTGAGGGTTGGTGAGGCACAGCGTCTGAGCTTTAATGGCTCGTGGCAGCGCCCTGCTGCAGCTCAAAGATCGTCTGTCCTCGACGCCCGACTGGGGCCCCAGCTGAGCCTCGCACAGCTCCAGAAGAGACACGACCTGCTCTCTGAGTGCCAGGGATTTGAACCTGCGACCTGCCAGGTAGAAAAACGCTTCCACAAACGCTTGTAGGCCCATTCCTGAAAAGCAGAAGTTGGAGTTTCACTTGACAAAAACAACAAAAAGATTTTACCAATCACTCAAGTCAGTGACAGTGTACATTCAACCAGTGGTTATCCCAGATTCAAAGAACAGTTTGACATTTTTACCTTCTGTAATATAGTTAGATGAACAGTTGATGTCATTTTCATCTATCCAGTAAGAAGCGACCAGTTAGCATAGCTTAGCATAAAGTCAGGGGCTGCCTTCGAAACTTTGTCTTTTGACTTTAACTTCATACTGCAGCTGCCTGATGTACCGTTTCATACAGTATGAATACAATTGGGACAAACTACTTCCTCATGCAGTTAGTAGTGAGAAATAAGTGGTCATCTGTCCTCGGCAGCTCAAGCTTCTTTACTTGCATGAGTCGCCGTGGTGTATTGATGTAACTGCGCAGAGGATTCTGGGTCATAATGGCGAGAAAAGCCTGCTGGTTTTATATACTGAGAAATCTGACTGGATGCAATACGGCATCCTGGTATTTTTAGCGTACTACGTTTGACATGCTTCGTATTGGGATGTTCTAAATCTTTTTCTGACGCACTATACAGTACGGTCTGTCTCTAAGTGTAGCCCTGTGATAGCCTGGTGACCTGTCCAGAGTGTCCACTGCCTTTGCCCTACGTTGGCTGGGATAGACTCCCCGCGACCCTAGTGAGGATTAAGCGGTGTATTGATGATGGATGGATGGATGGATGGATTGATGGATTGATGGATTGATGGATGGATGGATGATATAGTATGGTAGTAGTCCAAAGGCAACAAAATCTACCAATCAGCACTTTGAAAATACAATATTCAACACACTATATCTTGTTTAATCCATATAAAAACCAAGCTTAGGAAGTAAATGCACTATTTTACAGGGGTTTCTGACAATTTTCTTGTCACTGAGCTATTCCCAGGCAGCCGGAGAGGACTCCAGCCAACACATAGTCTGTCTTTTGTACAGATTCAAGCCAAATTATTTACACAGCACCCAATTTGTTTACTTCAAGTAAATCGCCAAACCTCCTTTCTGTTGCGCATTCAAAAGAAATTCTGTGGCATCTGCAGGATTATTACTAAATCCACAATGCAAGGATGTGGCCAGAATGATTTCTACTAATATTTAAAGCAGAGGTATTATTGTGCACTTGAAAATGTACCCGGATATCAATTGAACGCAACCGTGTTAATCAATTTGCTTAAAAAACACATAGCAGCATACACGAATATTGGAAACACATTTTAGGTTTTTGCCTTAATTGTGTCCTAAAATACCTCAGCATGCAGGTCCGCACACACACTGACAGGAGTTTCAGTCTGCTAAAATATACACTGAGTAGCTCAAGGTTATAGTGTTCATTTTTGGCTGATTAAACTTTATGATCATTTTGGAAGATGCAATTTGGGATGCTGTTGAACTGCGCTGCATAATACAGAGAGCTGTTTCTGTGTAGCGCACCTTCATTCATACAAATGGGGGTGGATAAATGTATTAATAGTATCACAATGCAAATCAACGGCACCACAAACTGCTGCCTCCAAAATGATCATGAAGTTGAGTCACCACCTCTCAGTTCCAACAAAAACTGAACATTAGAACTTGCACAATGATAGGTTTATCATCTACCCTTGACAGTGAATGCTGCACACTAAAGTTCAGTGTAACAGTTCACATATAAATATTTATAGTACAGTTGTAAAATATACAGCTCGAACTGTATGTGTTTGCCTCCGAGGGAAGAGCAGTGGTCTTCAGAATGCCAGGTTGGACTCTCCTCTCGGCTCGTTAAATCATTCAACTGTATGCAGCTTTTAAAGAGAAGCTGATGTGATTATATTATTATAATTTTAGCATTTTCAGATCTTGCCTCGGGGGCCAAGGTCAGTGCAACTCGAGGTCAAAGAATGAATGAGAAAACACTGAACGGCGCTAAATTTATACCCCAAAGATCTCCTTCCTATTTTCTGTTTTCAGCCCAGAAAAGCAGCGATAAAGAGTAATGATATGTCAAGTCACACTGGACTAACATTGAAAGCTGGTGGCGTCATTTGTAATTTGGAGTTCTTTCATTTGTCCTTTTAAAACTTTGTCACATATCTCAAAAACAAAACCAAAAAAAAGACATTTGTAAATTCAAAGTTTGGGGCTTTTATCTCTGTTCCCCACAAATCCAACCAGTGCACACACACACACACTCACAGAAATAACAGACCCTGACTTCAGTCTCCCTGCATACGTATGAGCTCATTCTAAATTCAGCCCACAATCTCCTCTGTACAGGCCCTTCCATCCCGGTCCATGTGATCTCCATCCATCCGCTCCGCCTCGCAAACATTCCTCGCAAGGTGCAATGTCTGAATAATTCATGTCGGATAGTCTCTTCGCTGTCACATTGTGATCTCAGCTCATTTCAATTACGGGAGCACAGTGTCAGAGGGAATCTGACAAAGAATGACAAGCAATTATCTCCAAGCATATTATTTGCTCCGAGTCTCAAGGATGCCCGGCTCTCTGTCCTCTACATATCGTTTCTTTGAGAGGATTTTGTTTTTGGTGTGCATTAATGTGTGCCATGTGTTACCTGCTTCTCTGGAGTCGGGCATCGCTCCCGACCAGCGACGTGTGATGTCTATGTAGAGGATGTCCACTGAGGCCATGGTGAAGTTGCTGTTGCTCAGTTTACAGGTCCTAAAAACAATTAGGACATCTTATTATCTCGTATCGGTACACATGTTTTTGAGCGCAATTGATTGTCAGCAGATTGTCAGAGTAAAGAGCAAGAAACAAAAAAATCAAGTCCTTTAAGGTGGAGTCTGTGACTCTGGAGAAAGACTGTTGATGTTTAGATAGTTACATGTTCAACATTTACTGTCCTTCTGTCAGCCATTGCCCCCTTTCCCTCCCATCTCATCTTCCTGTCGCTTTCCCTGAGTTCTGTGCACGAGTACAAACATGGACAGGACATAATGAAGTAGTGTTGAGAGGATCAATCTGAGCCTTTCTTCTTTGTTTACAGTTTACAGAGCCAGAGCTGTGTATGAACACCAGATTTATTTTTTTCAGCACACACACACAGAACGGACAGCCAGCATAGCCTTCCATGAGGAGATGTTAATTCAATTTGATTAAAAAAAAACAAAAAAAAAACAAGAAAAATCAAACAAAAAAACGACACTGGATTAAAATTGTTTAAAAAGTAAGAACCAGACTAGCATCTCAACATCACGCTGATGTTTGTAGGTACGTTTTAATGATGTTTAATGTGATACAACTACTGAACTATTTATCCTAAAGCCAGCCACGCTCTTTTCTCTGGAGACTGTTGGTGCTTCTTAATAAGCTTAGGTGCAGGACAAGAAGAGCGTTCATATTTGTAAGTTAGATAAGAAGACCATTTTGGCAGAAAGGCTGTGTTGCATCGCAGGCTGCTGTCTGACCCAAGATAAAAAATAAAAAATAAATAAATGAAAAAACAGTAGCTTTATGTAAGCTTTGATTGGCTGTATGCAGGCAGGTTTATCATCCATGCAGACAAAGACCTGCTGGTAGCCTGTCAAATAAATGCAAAGGTGGGAGCATGTCATCATGAACCCTAAAAAAATATGAAGCAGAATGTTTTCTCTTCTGGTGTTCGATCTGCTGTCTGAAAACATGGACCACATGACAGACACTATGACTAGATACAGTATGTATGTATTTATGTATGCTATACCAAAAAAACAACTGTCAAGAGTTTCATCTTTTCTTGAAATACTGAGCAGACGGAAACAGTATTATTTTAAACATATGAAATTCATTTAAAATCAGAAACAGAAGATAACGTTCCTCAAACCTGCATCTACACACATTGATAAAAGGGCTTTCAGACAGAATGCAACACCGCTGTGTTTTGAAACCCATCATTTCCAATGGTTTGCACAGCACCACAACAGTTTGTTACTGTGGTGAGCAAAGTGCACGTGCAGCGCAGTGCGGCGTGTCGCCTGGTGAGCTTGTGCATAAACTTAGACCGTGACGAATACCTGTGCAGCCAACAGAAACAAGGCATCCAGCCGGGCACTGAGGGGGAAACTGAGGAAAAGCTGATGTTGTGTGTGTGTCTGAATTCCCTGAAATATGTGACACAAGCTTTTGTTTCTCCTGAGATTCCATTCAAGTAGGAATTCAGAGTTAGGTCAGAGATACGTGTAGCTTTTGTTTGCCATGTGTTCCCTCCTTTGTAGCTCCACAGATCTATTCAAGTTTCTTAATTGAGGTAATGAGATACAGAAGTCGAATTTTCATACAGAATATCACTCTGACGTAGTCCATAATAGCACTGATGAGAATAAGAGGCCACTGAGGCTCTTAAGTTAAAACCAAATTACATGACAGTCTGTTTGTGAAATACACCAAGTTACCTAACAGCAGTAAATAATCAGAAATTGCACGTTTCACACAAGAATGCAGATGAAACTCAAGCAAATTTAGGACTGGATTGTTTTTTTCTGTATATAATGTTTTCGTAGTTTTTAAAATATTTTAGGGATGGTTGTGTACCAACTGTAACTATTAGTTGCTCTTATTGTGTTGACATATTATTGACAGTTTAGTGTCGGTATTTGTTTGGTTCTATCCAAACTGGTTTAAAACTGTCAGCTTTTTTGAATAAGTGGCTCCAAAAATATCATCAGCTACTACGGCACAACTAAACTTGGATCCGACAAATCAACCAAACACAATTCATACCTGATGAAGGTTCGGAAGGCAGTTGGACCCAGACGCATGTTGCCCTTGACCCCGAGGAAGCGTATGAACAAAGCTGCGATTCTCTCCACCAGCCGCAGGTAGTTGAACTGTTTGGTGTACTTTGGGTAAACCTGCTTCAGACACAGCGAAGGCAGAGATCCGATTTCATCAGGGCTCCTCTCTTGTGACTCTGCTTCCATGGGTATCTCCTCCCCATGTTCAAACCCTCCAGCCCTCGTATGGGAACTTGTGGTGAGGAAAATCAGGAAAGAAACAACAAGAAAAAAAAACAACATATTATTATGATTTTTACCGCATTATATTTCAGTGACAGGCTTCATGGATTAGCGAGCTGAAATAGCACTTAACCAGCAGATTTAGGGACTTAAAGTATTTCTTTTTGTGCTGTCCTTGGCTGAGTAATAGCCCTCAGGCCCTGCAGCACTGACCATAAGACCATCCCAGAGAGCTTTTGTCAGCCGAGCTACAGATAATACACCACTGGAGGTAGATAAATGCACCACGCTTTTCACTTCAATCTGCACTTACAGTCTAGCTTGACAGGCAAAAAGCAAAAAATAATGCAGTATGAAGGCTAAATAACTCTCTTGTCATTCCCCACAGCGCAGGCTGTGTATGGCCTTTTCACAGTCTTTTACTACATTCCCAGCATTCACTATCAGTTCCAAACACCAACATCATAGAGATTTGGAATGAACATTTTGATTTTTTTTTTTATTGTTATTCTTATCAAGTTGATACTTCTTACCATATTTGGAACTGAATTAACCAAAGCCCAGAAAGGAGGGGCACACTGATGGAAGCAGCGCCATAGCTTATCCTTCACCTGGTGACCAGTGCTCATTATTAGTCAATGAAAGCTTGCACAATGAAGCAACAACTTACTGAAATTAACCAAAAAGTATTCCATACACTATACATTTGGTCAATTGCTTTCACGTGGCACAAAAGTGGTTAAGATATTGGTGAAGAAGATGGTTCTTCCATGCAAAGAGTGAAGCACAGTTTTGTTTGATCATAAAAAGCCGACACACAAGATGTTTTTGTATCTTTTGTCTGTTAAAATTACTATTCCACAGGGTACCTTTAAAGGTCATCCACAACAAGCCCCGAGAAAAAACACCATGCTGTGGAACAATTTTGGCATAATGGCTACAATCAGAATTTCAATTCTTCTCCCTATTTACATTCATTTCAAAAAGAACAACATTAACACATTTTTTTCTTAATATCTCTGAAGGGAGACTTTGTTAAAATTAATATCTAATCCATTTGGTCTAATAATCTTTAAAAAGCACCTACAGTGGTTCCTTTGTAAACGAAGTTCTGTTTAAATTCAATGTTTCAAAGCAAAAATGCATTCTGTGTATTGTTAGGGCTTAATAAACGTGTTGGATGCATTTCATTACCCCTGCCAAGGACGTTATGTTTTCATTACTGGGGTTTTTACTGCATAGAGGAACTTTTGGAGCCCCCTGAAGAGGTTTTAGCCAGCACCAAAGGAGAAGCACCAATGCCAAAATGATAAGGACCAAAAAAAACAAAACAGTTTTGTTAATTGGAGGCTCATCTACTCAAGCATAATAGACTTTTTTTGTTTATCAAGTGGTCAGAAAAAAAAACAGGAAAATGCATACATTTCTATCAAATTAGGTAACAAAGACGCGGGCTGATCATGCTTACTGCCGTCCGTTGTCTCCCCCCCAAAAGACCCCTTCTGAGCCTGGAAAAACACTGATTACAGTTTGCTAGTCTGTCAGAAGGATAAGGTCCATTTTCATAAAAGTAAGAACCTGTTCAATTTTGATGCAGATCTGGTTTGGGTTGCTTATTAAGAGTGGACAATTGGTTTCTGTGGAGGTCTGCGCTCTCCAAGTGCCCTTATAATTCCACATGAAATACTTGCAAAGCAAACAAAACTGTGATCCTCTTATCAAAGCGTTGCTTCATATCCCAAAAACTCCTCAGGGTATCTTTAAGAAGCTTCAAAGAGCAGAAACCCAAGTCGGATTAGTCCATCTATTCTGATAATCAATTAATCACTTCAGTCACTTGTAAAGCAAAAAATGTCAAGCCTTTCCTTGTGTGTCAGATTTTCTGCTTTCCTTTGTTTTAGATCATTGTAAAATGAATGTATTTTGGGTTTTGGAGTGCTGGGCAGTCAAAACAAGACATCTGGAGAAAAAGAACATTAGATATATGTAAGAAATGTGATGGAAAATGTTGTTATTTTTAGTTTATAGCCTAACAATTAATTGGTAACTCAAGAGAAAAAATGCCAGACTATTATAGAATAAAGACAATCTTTACTTGCAAATAATGTCAGGTGTGATTGGCTACCATCAAAAACTTTCATGTCACAGCTCATTTATTTTAACTTTGCCCTTCGTCCCCTCTGCCAGCTATGCCATTGTCCTTTTCCTGAGGGTTATGGCGCTTCTCATAGAAAATTAATCTGAGCTCCAAGTTTTGTGTGTGTTTCTGCCCTTGGGCCTGCGTGGGTGGCTACACACTGTGCTTGACTGACATCTCCCTCACTCTTAATTTAGCTTTGTTGCACCTGAGAGGTCAGTACAAATTATACGTTTATCATTCTTATTAGTACATGCAGTCCAGCGACCTCAAATAATTCCCATCACAGAAAGCTAAGCAGAAGTTGCATCAGCTTAATGGCGAAAAAGACACCTGTGTGGCTTTGCAGGACCTCGAAGCACGACTCCTATTGTATGTGAGTGTGAAGACACGCGTGCAACAAAGGTACATTCACGCCAAGGGGATACAGTACTGCTGACTTTTATGAGGCAGTTTCTTTTGCCATGAATTAGTAAGCAGTGTGAATGGCACTGAGAGAGCACTGCTGAATGTTTAATAGAATCAATCATCCCTCAGCAGCCAGAAGGACACCACCCACATCTATTTAGACAGGACAGGCTCTGCTAAAAATGGACACATCTTCAACAGAAGCTGACAGCCAGACAGACAGCGAAGCGAATGTCTACAAACATTCTAGCGGAAGGAGAGAAGAAAATGATGGAGGTGAAGCAAGAGGGTAAAAGGTGAAGAATGGCAGGTTATTAGGAAAGCATACAGAGGCCCGGTGCCAAGTGTTGAGTGTACGTGAGGACAACTAGACCCAGTTCTGCAGTCATTAACCTGCATGAATGCTGTTGTTGCTCTTTTTGTGAACAAATCTTCAAAAGATACAGCACACTGTCAAAACTATTGAAGATGTGTCAATTAAAAGAAATCCCAGTGTCTGCATACCTGTCTCCATTTTAGAAATCGGAATAGTTTGCCTAAACTCTTCTCAGAGCACAAGTCAGACTAAACAACAGCAGAGTTTTTGTTTACATAAATAATTTAAACATCCCTTTTTCTCAATCGTTTCTATTCCACACAGCCACCACAGTTAGAAAACTTAGAAATGATGTCTACAGGCATTTTATTCCAAGGTTTCTTCAACAAAAGGCCAATTCATATTTTCCATGTCCCAGTGCACAGACCGATGGGGACTTTGAAAGCGGACAGTGGACGCAATCGCGGTTCTATTCATACACGAGTACAAGACGGTCGCACTGCCCCTAAAAATGAACAGAGAGAAACACACAGGGCTCCATGGAGGGTTCTGAAAGGTTCGCTGTGACTTTGCATTACATGATATTGCAGCTACTTCCAGATTGGGCTGTAGCACCATGTCAGTGTGATTGTTCCTGAGGTGTGCCGAGCGCAGTGGGTGGACATAGCACAGGATTTCTGGAGAACTTGGAACCTCCCACTGTGTTTAGGCCCTGGCAATGGAAAGCATGTACAAGTCAAAGCACCTCCAAAATTCTTTCAGTTTTACACAACTCTTAATGATGAATTCTAAAAGTGTGGATGACAGATAATCTTTTCGTACAGTCTCTCCTTTTAGCAAGCATTTGTTTTGAGCATCATTTGTTTCAGGGCACATGTGCAGTTGGTGTGCTTGTAGTGCATAAAGTCCACGGTCCTAAATTTTGGGTTCTATGCGGATATCCACAGAGTGGTCTGTGCGGACCTTTGCCGAATTGGGAAGACGACAAAATTTACTTCACACAGGCCACTGCGGACGAGGGGATGTGAAAAGCATGAAATGGCCTGGGAACGTCTCAACTTTAAAGTCCCCATATGGTGAAAATCCACTTTTATTTTGTTTTGTAGTTGTTATAATGACAGCGAGTCTTCTTCCTGAAGAGGGCATGGACAGCAGCAGCTCAGCTGTATTTGAAGCTACAGACAGTGACAAAGTCCATTTACAGCAGGGATAAAAGCAAGGGTTATACAGTCATGGTGAAATGAACCATCTTTTTGCAGTATTTTGAGCTGGAAAAAAAAAGACATTCTGGGGACTTCCATTAACTTACTGAAAAGAGACACAATATGGGCCTTTAAAATCAGCGCACTGCACTCAATTCACCTTGTTTCTCTTTATGTAGATGATGTTTTTGTAATCATGTCCCTTGCCCCCTATTGTAGGTACATGTGCCTATGAATATCAGCTTTTTGTTCTCACCCACACTCACCTTTCATAATGGCTCATAAATCACCCACAGAGACATCATTCACAGGATTAATGAGCTGGGTGCAAGCAGTACATGTCTGGGAGTCACTGATACCATCACACACTCCTCCTTATAATTCCCAATTTATGTCTACTCCCTTCTCTCCAAAATGCCACTTTTCCCCCCATTGTTCTGTCATTTTATATTTACTTATCTCTTATATAAGTCCTTACTCTACCTTCCTTAAATAGCAACACACCCAGCTATAACTTCTTATTGTGCACCTGGTCAGATCTCACCTTCATTTCACTTCATCTTAACAAGTGAAATTCATACATGGGTGAATTCAGCCCAAACTGCGTTCTGAATGACTGAATCCCATCCATCCCGCTGCAGACCAGCTGTCAGCAAGCACAACACAGGTATGTGTATTTACTGGTGGACCATCTGTGCAATAGGCAGGTTACTTAACCTCTCCATAACAATGTTGGAAATAGTTTGTGCTCTGAAAGACTGACTGCTCATAATTCTCAAAGTCTGCAAGAGGAAAAACCCAAACAAACAAAAGAACCCAGTCCTCTCTATTAAAATATTGCAAGTAAAACTATGTGAGAAGGTTAGATCATTAATAACATAAAATATTAAAAGCTACAATCCACTGCATCCCTGAGAATGTAATTTTATCAATACTGGGATACTGAACTCATTAGTCAGAAGATGCATAACAACAAATAGATTCCCAGTTCTTATTTCCTTTGCTTGTTTTCCCCAATCAGCCAGAAGTGGTGTTCCTCTCCTTCATCAGCAATCATATTTTTGTGAAAAACAATGGCCATGAGTTTTTAATTAATTAATCCAACAAAAACATATTTTCTCTTCTAAATTTCTAAAATGATTTAGCTAAAGTAGTGACATACTTATTGGCTGTTGATGCATCTGTATTAACAATAAAAACATGTTGTTTATGATAATAAATCAGCCACAAATCAGTTTTTATCTACACTGGGTAATTTAACATTTGGTGTTTTTAATACATTCGCTGATAATAATTCTGTTCTTGAATTTAATTTTCCAATTTTCCTTTTTGCCTTTATTGGATAGTGCAGTGAGAGAGAGAGACAGGAAAGTGGGGGAGAAGAATGGGGAAAAGACCTGTGGAGAAGAGCCATGAGCAGGACTCGAACTCAACCAGGTGAGCTATAGCGGCGCCCCTGATTTAATTTTCAAATTTAACGTGGTATTCACAAGGACTGCAACTCATGATCTGTTGATCTGTTTTCTTGATTAATCAATTAGTTTTTTGTTCTAATAAAATGTCAGGAAATGTTAAAAAAAATGCTGATGAGTGTTTCTCAAAGCCCAAGATGACATCCTAAAATGTCTTGTTCTGTCAACAACCCAAAAGTATTCAGTTTACTGTTGTAGAGAAGGAAAAAAACCCAAAAAATATTCAAATGCAAGAATCTGTATTTCAGAGAATTATGACTTTTTTTCCCTGTAAAATGACTGAATATATATATATATGGCATATGCCTTGCAGATGTAACTACACAATAAACACACTGCATGGAGATGAATGATTAATTAGTTCAGGTTTTGCACTTGTGTCGCAGCACATCCAATCTAATGGCTAATTTAATACACATTAGCGATAGCTAGTTAGGAAATTATTAGCACTTCGCTCACGTCAAACACAAAGCTGAAGGTACATTTCCCTGCAATCACAACCTGACATAAGCACTAAATGTTTTTGCTTTCTGAATTAAGCTGAACCACAACACAGTCATGACTGTCGTTTACCTTTTCTCTGTATATAAATACCACATTAAGATGATTTCCTCAGTTTTACTTTGTGAAATGTATTCTAGGATTTTCAGCCAACACTGACTTAGTTACACTCTTAATCTTGGTCCTCAGCTGAAACAGATATTTGCGTGTAAAATACGGCAATGGTACAAAAGTTAATACTGACTTACACTGACATTGATTGCAGATTTAATCAATTAATTGCTCAAGTTAAAAAACATTAAGTCGACAACTACTTACTAATAAACTAATCAACTATTTGGATAATCGATTAATCAGCTTGAGTAATCTTTTTAGAAAAGTATTCTGGTTTCTGTATTTCTTTGAGAGTAAACTGATTATCTTTGGTTTGTTGACAAACAAAGACATTAGAGGGCATCATCTAGAGTTCTGAGAAACACTGACTGACATTCATTTTCACATTTATCTTTTTTCTGACATTTAATAGACCAAACAACTAACTGATCAACTGACAATCAACAGTATAGTTGAACAATGACAATAATCATTAGTTGCTAGTTAAGATACAGATTGGAAAATTTTGTTTGATCCCAATAACTCAGGACCTGAGAGTTAAGCCAGCAAAAAGTGAGGGACATTAAATTAAAGGATTAAGGGTCTTAAAAAGATATAAATTAGCCCAAATGAAAATAAGGGAACAGCATTTTGTGTTGCAGACTAATTCTTCCATATATAAGCACAGAATGTGCTTCTGCTGATTCTAGCTACATGGAATATAGCAATACAGGAGAACTTGAGATTTAAGTATATTCTCGGTGGGTTAATATCAATATGTTACTGGTCACGACTATAAAAGCTAAGTGGGTATTATCCCTGGAAAGATATCCCTCTCACTTGCAGAACAAAGCAAATCAAATATCTGATATCAAGAATAATCTCGGGAGGAGGCAAGAAAAAAGGCAAGAAATGGAGATGGTGGCAGAACAGAAACCGCAAATCCTCTTGTCATAAAAGAAAAACAGAGCGAGGGGGAAAAAACACAAACCCTAATGGTGGAGGAGATTTACTGGCAGGCACCACACAGGGCCAAGCAGCCAGAGAGATTGAGCCACCAGACTAGTATAGTAATGTGTGAATTTCCACCACGGCTCAGCTGAATTTAATTTTTCCATTTAACAAGCTTAGGGAGAGCTGTTGAGTGGTGCAGAGCGGGGCTCCGAGGAGGAATGGGCAGAGTGAGATATCATGTCCTTTAAAGTGGACAGGCAGACAAAGAGTGGAAGGATGTAAGAACTCCAGCTTCAAACCGTGTGCAAGTGTGTGTATTTACATTATCGGTTTCTTGTGGCCCGGGTCCATAAGGCGCAGAGTGTCCCTGATCACTCCCACTTTGACCTCCTCATCCACTGGACTGGGAACATATTCAAACACTCCTGGTGCCACCTGAAAGAAACAAATGCTCTTTACAACAAAGTGAAAAAATAATGATAACGCTCTGGTGATGCTGATATTGACAATCACTCTTACTTCTTGCTCATGTTCTATTCTCATACTGGGGTTGGAGTTGACCTCTAGTAATACTGGCTTCAGGTTCTTCATCAGCAGGATGTCAAAGCCCAATATCTGACAAAGACACACACCACATTAAATACCTATTTTATATATTTACATTTAAGAACAAGGTAGATTATACAAAGATCAGTCACAATATTAAATCCACTGACAGGTCAAGTGTATAACTTTGATTGGGAATCCTTGAGTCATGGCATTCACGTGAATTTGAAACATACCATCCGCATTCGTACCAAACAGCAGGACCATAAGTTGTTAAGAACTATCTAGTCTGATTAATTTTCTGTATTTCTGGAGAAGACTTAATTTCAAAGTAAGAAAAAGTCAGTAAAGAAAGAATCAACTGAATGTCACAGAATTGAATCTGAACACGCCTCTGTGTTTTTAGCTTATAGCCTAATCCTTTACATTCAACACACACACATCTGAATCATAAAAAGTCCTACTGTTTTTGCTACTGTTATTTTTAGATCACACTGTACAGGAATAAGTCACCTAAGTTAATTCTGATACAGAGGAAAACTGTCAATCTGATGATTATGAATCATAATCTTATCGTAGTGCCTTTCTATATAATTTGCAGGCAGACTTTTGGATAGAAAAGGAGCAAGTGGGCAGATATAACCATAAAAATGTTTTTCCAATCTGTTCAGAGCACATTATCTGTGACATTTGAATAATGTATTGATATTCTGTAACACCCCCCCATGTATACCCACCTGGAAGCATGTAGGTCCTGGTTTTCCAGGCGGTATGTCAGCCTGATAGAAGACTTTAAGTTCAGGCACCACAGCGATGGCAGTCTTAATAACAAGGGCGATGATGTCCGACCACACCCTCTTGATGTCTACACCTTTAGCTGCCAACCTGTACAGCACACTGGAGAGAGTGCGCTTGCTGCCTGTGCTCTGGCTGTCTGAGTGAACAAAGTTACCGCTGTGGACGTTGAGGGAGTAGTTTGTCAGGTGCATGAAAACGTGGCTCAGATTCTTCTGGCTGGGCTCCTACATAATTAGAATAAGAAGGACTTTAATTAGCTGTATATTATTAGAGAAGACATAGATGTTTTATTGCATGAGAACAAAATAGCAGCTATAAAGGAAATCCCCCAGCATTATTAGCCCCATCGTGGCTACCTGGTAGGGCTCGGTGCAAAAGCGTGTGAGGCCTTCTTTGGCAATGTAGATCTCCAGTGGCTCCAGGGACTTTATGAGCACGTAGAGGCGGATATCAAACTTGAGCTTGTCGATGAGTAACGGCTTTTGGATGTACTCTTGCACTACAGACTGTTTGGCCTGAGAACCCGCCATGAGCTTTAGGTCACTGGGGTCACGGATGAGGTAGATGCCGTCCCCCTGAGAGCCTCCATCTGGTTTGACAATGAAGGTCGGATTCACTGTGGCATCGTTCTCCTTCACCATGCGAATCTACAGCAGAGAGGAGAGAGAGAGAGGCCAGATAAGAAAAACCAAAAACTCCATATCCACTGAGTCTGAGTTAAGGAAGCTTTTGGAGGCTTAATACAGGCGTTTGTAGATATTTACAATGTGGGTTTTTGCTATAACACCTGGGAGGAGGCTCAAAACAAACATGAATCTGCCTCTTAATGATTTAAAAAAATATCAAATTAACTGTAAAATGGGATTCAACTTTAAAAAAAAAAAAAGGTTCTTGTTCATCATCTGAACTTACAAATAAATGATTTAATAATGGCTCTTGTTTAACTCTACCCTAGAGGAAAGATAGTTTTCTTTTTTTTTTAATTAGTGTTTAGAGCACGTAGTGTATAGAAAGCACGCTCATTATGCTACCTTTTAGAGTTGTCTTTTTTGAATACAGTAGAAACAGGCCGCTGGGATTAAAATAACATGATTTTGAAGCCAGAATTAACCCAAGGTAAAAACATAAACAGCATTTACCATAATTCCTGAGTTATAACCTCAATGGGTCTCTCATTGTGCAATTTGGTTAAATACATATCCTGACTTAATTTCTAACTGCACTGTGTCCATGGAAACTGTTCAGCAATGATCAAAGCTTGAGGTAAGCTGCATTTTGAATAAGTCTCACAATAATCTGCAAATGTTAACGGAGGTTTTATCTCCACCTACAGTATAAAACACTGTCTATCTTTCAATGTATTGTTTTATTTTTTCTAGATCTTGATAAATGTTACAGAATCAACAAGATGCGTGCAAACACAAAATCAAGCATTATATACCTGCTTCAGTTTGATTTTTTTAAACTATTGTTGCAATATGTCATACAAAGCCTCTGTTTTTTAAAAATTCTATTTACACACATTTTTGTGTGCTGAAAGTACATTTGAATGACAACTGTGATAGCTTGGTGCCCCCTGCTGGACAAATCATGTAGTTACTACTTAATTTCCTCATCTAGAAGTATTGACCCATTCAATTAGACCATTCATCTGAAATTATCATAAAATATTGTAACGTTTCTCTGAATGTAAGTGTAGTTTATGCAATTAGATATAGTTATGAATGTAAAAAGCCAATGAAAAAAATCTTTATTGTCAAATTAATTGTAAAGGCACCACTTCACAGCTTCAGCATCCGTGTTCATAATCGTACAAATGGTGGTACAAATTTTGAATACTAAGAGAAAGCATGAAAAAAGAAATGTTTTCAAAGCTGTCCAGACTTTAACTTCAAGTCAATTGTCTAGACTTAATTTATATAGACAGCAATGATGGCTACACTTCATTTAGGTGTTTGAGGTCCATGCTGCTACGTGTGTGGACTCATTTGCATGGCCTACTGGGACACTTAAAGGAAAAGTCAATGTTATTAGTAAAACTTGTCCTACACTGCCATGTCAAGTCAAAATGTAGGTTGTTTAAAACTCCTGTTAAATTATGAAATTCGACATCTCTGTATGACAAGAACACTAGTGCACACTGTATGTTAAATTGCTCCATTTTTAACATCTTGCTTTTTATGCAAAAAAAAGCACTGAATGAAATAAGCTCTACAACAGGAACATATAGTTTCTATATGTGTCTATATAGTTTCTAGATTTTTGCAGGGTTTTAATACAAAATATGTACTAATTACTCAGGTAAAATCATACCATAAAAACACGACAGAGTCATAACCCCAATACTAAAATTGGTTGGACAAATTCTTAATGTCAATCATATTCTCTCTCCCCTTCTCTCGCTCTTTTTTTTAACTTATTTATTTATTTATTTTTTACTGGAAAGCACTTTGGTGATACAAATGACTTGACTGTGTGGACAAAAATACAAAACTACAGAAGTGCCAAGATGCGTTTCAGCTAGCTACTCCACTTTTATCATGTCCAGCATCATAACTGTGTTTGTTACGATGTTATGTAACTATACCTGAGTGGAAAACTGCTGGTACTCTTCAGGGAGAATCCAGGAGCGGGGATAGAAGTCGTATTCTTCTGGGAACAGCTCCTGCATAGTCCGCACTGCCCGACTCATGTTAATCTTCCTCAGCATTTCAATCATCCCTGCAAGGTACAAATGACTGTTACAGAGACAACACTGACATTTACCTGGAAAGTATATTCAGATCAACGTATATTGTTTAGGACATTAAGGTAGTTCTGCAGTAAGCAGACTGACTCTAGAAAAGGATTTCAAAAAATTAAGAAAGAATTTCTTTGCTCAAAAGGCAGAAAGGCAACAGTTGTAAAACCATAATTCCACATGACAATATGTGCTGATCACAGGATTCTGGTGAAGCACGTTTCTCACTTATACATTAATTTTCAGAATCTCAAAAAACGGATTCATCTTTCCCTCATCACGGGTAGAGCAGCTGAAACAAGGAAGGGTTTACCTAACCTTTATTTCAACTCTACAAACCGCTGACTGTATACAGTGATGGACAAACCCTCTGAGACGTCATCCATAGATTTTCTAACAGCAGTTTTGAAGCTTAGCGTGCTGGCTCTGGTCATTGCCAACTTGGCATGCCTGACTCTAATCCAAAAACCAGCGTGAGTGGAGCTGAGGTAGGTCATGCAAACCTGTCTGGGCCATGGACTGTCCTATGACGCACCCACCTGTTGCTTGGAAGAGCCACACCCTTAAATATGCGTTACTTTAAGTTTAAATGCAATTCAAATGGGATAGTTATATACAAATTTACCCCCACAAAGTTGTCACAAACAGGCATCTTCCTACAGAGACCAAAACCATTTTTTTGTACCAGGCTGTACAAATTTGAACACTAAGGTCTGTGGGGACTGACTGGCTTTTTATGCCAGCCTAACTTGGCTATTGAAGAAACTGCAGTTTTTGGCACTTCTGTGTTGGCTTCTTTTTTCAGCCCTAACGATTGGTGCTTGCTGCAAACTTGGTGTGATTGTGGACTACTGAGTAGATAATGTACGCTGAAAATAAAAACATTTTTTCAGTTATACTTCAACAAACATTCTTGAAGGATCCTCCTGTGATAAGACATTTGTAAAAGAGGTAAAAGCATACCTGGGAACTTGTTGACCTGCCCTGAGACGATATTTTCATTGTCATGGAAGGAAACACCATGCCAGTAGATATCACAGGCTGCACGTCTTCCCAAAGGAAACTGATGAAAAAGAGAATCAACAATTAATGGGGAGAAATAATGGATGACCAACAAAAACTGAGAATGGTAAGAACTATTTGTTCAGGAAATCAGGCGTGTTTGCATTTTGAACCAGGCTTAATCTGTTTGTATGACTCAGGACATTAGCAGGGTGTTTGCCCTTCTGGTGATCCCAGAGCGCAGGGATAATCTTGCCTAAAGATGGCAGGTAGTGCGTGTTGTGTTGTGATGAGCTGGGAAAGAGGAGGAGAAGTGATACTATAAAAGGATTTAGAGAGCGAGGAAATCCCACTGGCACAAGGTGCAGCTGTTCTCCTCCACACCTCTTCTGCCCACACTCCAAATCACATATTATCCATCAAATATGTTACAATGAAGTTAAAAGGATAGGTTATTGCAGTCATAATATGGTATGCAAATGAAAACCGAATGCCACTGGAAAAAAGGATTGCGTGTAATATCCACTTTTCACGTCTGGATAATTATCTTTTAAATTTCCACTTAAGTTCCAGCAGTGTTTCGACCTCAAACTAATATATAAACACCTCATCTTCACTACAAAAAAGCTTTCTGTATTGTAGTAATCAAATACGCAGCCACATCTCATTTCCCAAAACAAACAATGTTTTATAGTTAAACAGCTGCTATTAACAGGAAAATTAACCTTCTCTCTCGTAAATAAAAATTAACTGAAAAAAACAAACTTTCTGTAAATCTATCAGGAAAACAAAATTACATAAAGTCATCTGCTGTATGTGTCCTGTAATCAACAGAGCTCCACACATGAAAAGTACATTGTTTAACATTGCACTGCTCAATATACCGAATGCTTTTTACTGGTTGCTGTATTGTTCTTAGAGTCTGCGTGGACACTCATTTCTATGTCCAAAAATGCCCACATCAAACTACGTCATATATTTCAAAGTTCCACTCTTTGATCTTCTCACAGCTCATGATTGATGAATTAAAACTCAACACAGCTCACAGCTCAGCTTCAAAACATCAACACAGAGCTGGAAAGACTTGTATCACAAAGTCTATCTTTAACTTTCTTGCATCAGCAGGACTCTATACTAAATTGGATCGGAAAGTCAGCAGCATATCATCACCACTCTAAATTCTACTCTGATACGACCCACCCTACTGCCAAGCTACAAGATAAACCTATGACAGCGCTGCATCTCATTAATGAGTTAGCATGACACTGTGTGAAACAGGGAAACCCTGCTCATCAGCCAAGACCTGCTATAAATACAACCACAAGGATGCCAGCATATAACTGTCAAATCGCATCAAGGAAGGAGATCAAATGAATTTTAGGAGTTTCTTGGAATGACACACAAAAATAGATATCACCTATTTGTGGGCACTGGTGGATGTGGGCTTTATTGGCAAAGTTTGTTTCCTGAGCCACTTTTTGTAAAAATAAATAAATAAATAAATAAATACTTTGCTGACTGGACTGTAGCCCAGTTCTAAATACAAATTTCTTTCAGCAAAATCGAAACCACAGAAACTTCAAGTTGCAGTCTATCTGCCATGCCTCCACTAAATAGCATTTATAGTTTCAGATATTCAGGTTATTATTTTCCAAACATGCTCAAAGGAAGCCTGTGGGTATCGTGAATTTTAAAATCTATACACATTAATTCAAAATGTCAGCTTAGTCTGTAAAATTCTTATCAAAAATACCAAGCCCATTATAAAATGCACGGTTTTTATTCTCATTTTCTGAAAGTTGTCATTCAGACCCTCGGGCTGCCATTCTCTCTGGCTCCTCAAAGAGGACTAAACGTCTATTGGATTAGAAGAGCTTAAGGCTAATAATTTCCCTCTGTTAAAGAGAATGCCATATGCTGAAAGTCAGTTGACAGCTGTCTCTCAGGCCAGAGAACACTACAGATGTAGATACGTAATGAATGACGAGGTGTTTTGCGACTCTCTAAAGCTATTTTGCCCCATTGATGTTCATTCCACAACTTATAAATAGAGCAAGGCCACTGGAGTTGTGACACTGTCAAAGATGCTGACAGGTACTTTCAAAATGACATAAGATCTATACCGCCCTTAACTTTGTTGGGGGTGCACCATGTAGACAAAGCGTGGTAACGTATAGGCCTTCTGCGTATCACTTCCGATACCAGACCTGGAAGGGTTTAAGTGTCACGGCTTGGTCAGTGGTGATCAGTAGTCTTTACTGCTCCTGTCTCATCGAACTGCTATTCTTTACTTCTCATGCATAATAGAGACCGTGATAATAAGGCTTGATAGCAGGTATTAATTGCATGACATTCAAAATGATCAGATGGTGTTTATGGCTCACAGTAAGAAGAACTGGATCAATTAGCTCTCTCATAAATTTTTTAAAGTTGTTGCTGTTCATCTCGAGAAACTTTCAACTACACCTGTCCTCTGTAATATTATCATCTAAGTCCGGCAAACTGAAATTGTGATGCTGTGACAGTTGGACATCTCGTCATCTAACCAAGGACTTAGAGGAAAGCACAAGTCATTACGCTTTAAAGTGAAGCTGCAAATATCAATGATTTTCTCGATTATAAATTGATCTGTAAAACATCTGAAAACTGTTAAAAAAAAAAAAAAAAAGTAAAATTAGAAAAAAAAACCTTTGTCTATTTTCTAGACTGTTGTTTTACCTCACCAATTATCAAAAAACATTTTGAATTCCTTATTGCTATTGCTATTGAAAACATTAAAACGTGGTGGAGGTCGACCAATTATGGGATCCAATATTCTTCATTTTTCCAATTATCTGTATCAATAATTTATTGAATGGATTCAGAATAAAACAAATCAATTGAAAAGGTGGTACTTTGTCTCAACTGCATGTCTCCAACTGTAGTCAACATTTGATATAAAGCATCGAGTGTGTTAACAACTAGCTTGACATACATTTGGTTAAAGACAAAGTTCCTTGGTGCCAGGGCCATCACAGAAACTATGTTGTAATAACAAAATAACAAGAACAGATGTGACAAATTACAGTGCATTTGGATACCTATAATATTCAGCAGTATTAGCAAGAAGGTGAACACACGTTTCTATTTTTGGCATACATACAGCTCATTTTTAATTCATTCTTAACGACAGTCAACTATGTTAACATACAGATGATTTCACCAACATCTGCTTAGACAAGTAGTAAGAGTTCAACAGTGCCACATGTCTTTGGGAATTTACTCACACCTACATCGGTTTCTCTGTCTATGTAGCCTTCTTCAATACTGCATAAACATCACAACAACAAATGTACATTGCGATTGTCTCTGCCAAATGTTTTCTTTCATCTCATTTTCTTACAACCACACAACACTCCTACACAGAGTGCTGTGCAGATTCACCATTCGGTTCCAACTTCTGAAAATATAGTTTTCTGATTCACATTTTGTCAGAGATAGTGCCTCTAATAAAACGTCTAAACTGGAGGAGTGAAGAAAAGAAACACATGGGGGAGGCTGACTAATGTAATTATTGCCATATTAATTTTAACAGCTCATAACAGTACTGATTATGAGCTCTTAAATACTCTGTGATATGAGCTGTTAAATACCCAGTAAAATTTATCTCAAGTTGTAGAAGTAGTGCTGCGCAAAGTGATACACTTGAATACTGTAGAAAATGTGCATTAGGATGATGTATATGAAAAAAAAATCACTGTTAATACTTATGTCAGCTTTTGGTTGTCTACAGAAGCCTACTGCCAATGCAAATGTTGTTTATAGTAATGTATAGCCTGATATTATGATATGATATTGCAAACTGGTCAATAATATTCACAATATTGTCTGATGGCTGTTACTTTAGACACTATTCAGGCACAGAAGATCTTTGACAAGAGGATTGCTCTTCTCATTACAGTTGAACAACTCAGTGGCTAAAGTGACCGTTTAAAACACACTGAAACAAAGAAAAGGTCACTGGTTTTGGATTTTATTGGTGGAAAATAATTGCAAAACTGGCTGTCAGAGGCTCATACTGCACAATTTTGACCCACGCCTAATCTGGCCATCATCTGGATGAAACTCTGATGGAGTGACATGACTGGTCCTCTCTGGATTGGGCCTGTCATTGACAGTCGATTAAACCATGCACTGTTGCTTAACTGAACCAGCTATTCACACGACTACTTACACAAACTAGTCACAGTAATGACAACTGCACAGCACATAGGTACATCATATAACCTGCAACACAAACAGCACAAAACAAGAAAGAAACTGCGCTAGAGATCACCTCTTTCCACTTGAGCTGCTTGATGCTTAACTTCAGAGCCTCTAGCGAGGTTTTGGCCTTCGATGTGTCCACTGTCACAGGTCTTCTCTTCCTTGCAAGTTTGAATCCGTCCTCCCTGCGTGTTTCTTGAATGTTTTTGGATGCATGGATGTTCACATAGTTGCCATTGGTCTCCAACTTGCCCTGCAGTATCTTCCCAGTTCCCTTGACTTGAAGTGTCCGCTCATATCCTAGTTTGTTCAAGTTTTTCTCAGCATGAGCAGACACTACAGATCCATGCGATGACAGATCTGAGATTTGTTTGCCACTAGAGTTTTTGTCATCTTTCCCCGGCTTACTACGACTTTTACCCTTATGTTTGGAAGTGCTGGATGCATCAGTAGCAGGTATGGTGATGCTGGAAGGGTCTGGTGAATCAGGAGCAGAGGGAGAAGACACCGGCACCTGCTCCTCGGCATCCACACCCTGCTTCTCGGCATCCTCACCAAAAGACTTCATTTGCTCGAGTTGAACCTTGACTTTTACATAATGATCACTCATTATGCGAAATGCGATGAGTGACGCTGCTGGGCAGGGCACAGTCGTACCACAGAGTGCAGTAATCCGACACCGGCAAGCTAGCGTTATCCACAAATAATGTAGCACGCATTGCTAGCTTAAATGGCCAATTAAAGATTAAAAGCCATTTGCTTCAGTGGGGTCGTTTCCCAAACAGACTGAGTGAGCAGAAAGCGGAAATATAGCCTCAGCTAGTTACCATTTGACTTGTCCGGCGAAACAAGTAACATAAGCTAGCGTCATTAGCCAGCTGGTTACTATATTTTAACGAGCAACTTCAAAAGGCTAGCGGCTCTCACAAGCTGCCGTTGACTTATCCTGGCTGCTAGAGGCAGGCTGGCGCTGGTAGCCAACACCGCTAGCTAAACCTGACGTTAGCCTGTCAAACTTCATTTAGCTAACACACTCACTTCTGAGCCGTTAACGTTACCCTGTAAACTCATGGTAGACTTCACCTTACCGGCACCGTTATGTACTTTTCTAGCGGCGTTTTGGCGTTGCCCACAGTCCAGTGCTCTCTCTGTACAGTATGTGTGTTATCGTTCCTGTGTTGTTAAGCAGCAGAAGGCAGACCAGCCCATCGCCCAGCCTCCATCTGCTTTGAACCCAGCTGGTGCTGCCTTTGGAACCCCTCGTAAACCCCCTGCTTTAAGGAGGCGTGTTGGCCCTATGATTTATCCCGTTTTAACTATGAATAGAATCTGGGTACTGGTGGTGCTTGTCTAATGTAAATGCACATCACGGCTTCATATCCGTACGTAAATGTGCTTCCATCCTCTTGTTTTATTTGCAAACCTACAGCAGTTAGGTCAGAAACGGAATCAACCACAACTACATTTCAAAGAATCCCGTCCAGCAATGTGTATTTATATATGTGTTGATTCTGCATTTTTGCACAGGAATAGTATGAAATAGTATCGTTTACCGATTTAAATGGTATCCCTTCAAGATTCAAATGTACTATTTCCGACAGCACATGAAGGCAATACAGAGATGCCTCGTTTGAGTGGCTGTCACTGCTCCAGCAAATAATGTTTAATATCCTCAACTAAACTCAGTAAACTTAATAATTCTATTGGGTTAGGGTGATTTATAACAAAACATATTCTGCCATATGTTGTCTGTGAACCGACATTTTATTTTAGCTAAATAAAGCTGTGAGACAAATTTTATATTCTGAGATGGAGTAATGGTTAAAGTGGCACGGTCTCGAGTAGGTTCATCTTCACTCATAATAATGCTGCTGCTGCTGCTGCTGCTAACAACAACAACAACAACAACAATAATAATAATAATAATAATAATAATAATAATAATAATACAGCTATTGACAAAACATTCAGACTACATCGAAACGTGTGAATGAATCTTTGATCACTGATGACATCACTGATGACATCACTGATGAAATCACTGATGGCATCACTGATGACATCATCAAATGACTCAAAAGTTAATTAAATAACACCTTCTTATCAGATCACGTTACTAGAAGCTGTTTTCAGAAAGGGACATTTACATCAATTCATGATGAGCGCGAGTAGATCCATACCGTACGGCTTTAGAAGTTTGCTGGAGTGTTTGGCTAGAGCAGCACTCCTAGCACAGCCAGACAACCTGGAACAGTTTATGTGTACACATATAACCAATATGGTACGTTCCAGAGTTGAAGATTGCAACGATCCCAAGGAGGTTGCCTTCAGCCATCAAGAGCAGTGGGAAAGGATGATCCTCAAACCACCACCCCCAGAAGCACATGGCCAGGAAGTGAAGCCTTGCACGGCCGATTCAGCCCCTGCAGCATCAACAAAGGTGACACCTCCCAGTGAGGTGAAACGAAAGCACAATGTTGGTAAGTCTGCAGGGATGAGTCCCAGCCAACAGGTGAGGAAACCGAAGAGTGGGCTTCGTCCAGCACCACCACCTGGACCACCACCACCTGGGCACAGAAACAAGAGGCGTGGAGTGTCAAAGGTCAGGATTCCTGACAAAAAAGACACAAAACCGTCTCGACCATCTGCAAAACCAGTGTTTCCTCCCAAGGCTCCTGTCCATGTTTCAAAGCAGGTGCAGGGAGAAAAAAGTATGCAGGGGGAAACTTCTCCAGCTAGCCAGGGGTTGGGACCAGTCCAGACCTACACGGATCCAAAAACTGAAAAGGATACCGACCTGCAAAAGGCGTCTGGTTCATACACACCCAAAGGTGGATATGTTGCTGATCCTGAATTGTCATCAAGGATGGCAAAACTACATGGTGTGCCGAACAGGACAAGTGCTGTGGAGAAGCGGGACTCCAGAGGTTTCTCAGCAGTGTCTTCTGAAGTCTCCACATACACTTGTCCCCACTCTCGCACATTCCATGTAATTAAATACAAGGGTGTGAATGTGCAAAGTCAGGAAGTTCCTCCTCAACCTGACAGGAAGCACATGTAAGTAAGGTGGGGAATTTGCAGGTGGGAAAAAAGAAAAGATAGGATAGGGGCTTATAAAAATCCTATTATCAATTAATTAATTACATATCATAGACAATTATATTATATAATATAAAACAACGTAAGGATAAGTTGTATATACGTAACCTTACTGTTAACTTCATTTATTTATTTGTTCATTTTTTTATGCTCTATTTTGTGCCAGAGGAGGGGTACAGGTGGGGTTAAGGGGTTTAAGTATTTTTTCTTTGATTGTATATGTTTGTCTTGTTCTAATTGTTAAAAATTAATTTTAAAAATGGGGGGGGGGACAAAAAAAAAAAAAAAAGCAAAAGGCACTGGTAATGGTACTCCTGGTGTACCGGGACGGGGTTCGATTCCCTGCAGCATCCTGCTTGTTTTGGCATAAACATGAAAGCTGCTGTAATTTGTTGTCAACTGCTTAGCTCAAGTAACTGAAGAAAAGTAAAGGTGTTGGAAGAAAATGAACGACAAAAACATCCCAGCATATGTGCAGTGTGATGGGGAAAAACAAACATGGCCCAGACACAAAAGATAATTCCACTTGAAATGTATTGGTTTAAAATTCGTGCTCTGGAACACTAAAGGTTGGGCAATTCGTGTCCCTGGACACGAATCAATAGATTAAATTTCGTGACTTTTTTACGAATTGCCATGAGACTGCGTTGGTCTGGAAGAGCAGAAAAATGGCAGAAATTTGTCTATAATGGTGAAAATCTGACTCAACAAAATGTCCAAGATGACAGTGTTTAAAAAATGTGTCCAAAATAGCAAAAGCCTGTTCAAAATGACTGAGTCCAAAATGTTGAACCGCTTAAAAAAACAAAACAAACGTATACAAAATAAGAAAACTCCGTCGAAAATGTACCAGAATGACAAAGTTGTCCAAAATAGCTTAAATGTTTGACCAAGTAAGTAATTTTTGACTTATAATTTATCTAAAATTACTCAAAATTTTAAAAAACAAATTGTCCAGTTTTTTGTGAATGACGTAGTCATTAAAAATAAGTTGACAATAGTCCAAAATGGTTTTAATGTTTTTCAAAGTGGGTAAATGTTGCCCCAAATCACCCAGAAATTGTCCAAATAAACTTAAACGTGTCCAAAAGAAAAAGAAGAAATGGAAAAAACAAGCTTGTTCAAAATGACCCAGAACGACTCGACATGTGTCACAAATCACAAATATGTCCAAAATTATTTGGAAGTTGTCCAAAACAACTCAAGAAATGTCCAAAATCATACCAGATTTGTAGAAATCACTTTTAAATGTGTCCAGAATAACAAAACTCTGTTCATGTGATTCATGGTCGTCCAAAACTACTTGCAAGTTTCCCAAATCAAATAAATATATCCAAAATCTCTTGAAATCTGTCCAAAAAAAGTCCAAAATGTAGTAAAATTTTAATATATCATTCACAAAATAAATAAACTCTGTTCGAAATGACTAAAATACTGTACAAAAGGAAATGCTTTTGTATCTCTTTGTGATTGTTTTGTGTCTTTGTGGTCAGTTTATGCTTCTGTGTTGTTTTTTTGTGTCTTTGCAGTGGTTTTAATTCTCTTTCACATCTTTTTTTTTTCTCTCTTTGTTGCCACGTTGTGTGTTTCTGTAGCTGTTTTGTGTTTTTGTTAGTTCTGGGTCTCTGTAGTTGTATTGCGTCTCTTTGTGTTTGTTTTGTCTCCTTCCACTTTGTAGTTTGTGTTATAATCTGACAAACAGCTCCACCCAGTGTCCACACTCAGAACCAGCAGGCCAGTTCAAACATTTTATTTCATCCTTTTTGAAGTCCAATAGAGAATTTGTTTTGTTTAGAGTGTCACAGAAAATCAAATGAGAGATTAAAAACACACAAATGTTAAACAAAGCGTTAAAATGCAGAATGAGAAGTTCAGGAGGTTCTTTCGTCTCACACCTCCTAAATACTTTCCTGCATCACGATAAATGAGAGTTTTCCACACAAACCTGCTCTGCTGCTAATACTGAGTCCAGGTCCTCCTAAACACTTTATTTACAAGTTTGAAATGTTGGAATCACAACACTAGTTAATATTTATACGGTCTGACAAGAAGAAGCTCCTTTCTTCATTTGTTGTTTTCAACTTGTCAAATGATTTTACAGTAAAGTGACAATAATCAAAGATAATTGCAGAGAAATACAAAAGTGAGTTGGTTCACATTTTTGATCGATTATAGAAATACAAACATTTGGCAGGCTGGTGGGGCATTAAATACCTGCACTACCTACTATGGACTATGGTAAAAACTTAAGGGGGGATGGGTCAAGTACCAGGTCATGTGACTTCATGCCAGCATTCAAAATTATATTGATACATTTCCATCAAATTCCAAAATGGCAGCCAACATGGACAAAGACACTGGTCATGAGGTAAGTTCTGATTTTTTTCATGTTTATTATATTTTGGTAGGACTTGCTTTCATAAAATATTGTTCTTTAAAGGTGATTTTATGTATTGTTGTTTAAAGATAATGCATTGCATTTACACAGCTTTGATAATGAGGCGCATTGAATGTCTGTATCCTGGGGGATACATTGTCCAGATAGGGGTATGAAATAGAAACACTCACTCTCAGATATACTTGTGTTTTAAGGACTACACTCTATAGATAGTCAATCATATAAAGCTGTGAAGTATTCATTACTCTTTATTTTACTATTCAATGTGTATTACTGATTAATTCACCAGAAGTTTACACATTTTCAGGGAATTTCTGTGTGCATGTTTTACACTGCAATAAAAAGAGTGGCGACATCTGTAGTTTTGCCACCTGATGATTCATCGGATTCAGATGAGGGAACTAGCACAGAAGATGAAGAAGATGAGTTGTATACACAGGGCCAGTGTGGGGATAGTTACAGCAGCAGCAGTGACCATTTAAGTGGTAGCTCCAGTGATGAGGCAGAGGAGGGAGAAAACCAGAGAAAGCAAAGAAGGATTTTCAAGTATTGATAAGAGTATTATTATAAATTGTTATGTGAAAAATCCAGTGACATTGTAGGGTTGCAGGGGTGTGTATTTTTTTACATTTATTTCTTTTCTTTTCAATAGGTGGAGAAAAAAAGAATTTGAGCCCCAGTCTACTG